CTTCAACTTCTATTTTTATTCAATTTCCATCTCCATTCAATTACTTTTTCTATTTAATTTCCAAATAGATCGTTAAGGTTTAGTGGTTTCTTAGTGATGCTAATGGAGTCCATCCCCTATCTCTTCCCAAACAAAATCCGGTTTAGAGGTCCATCCCCTATCTTCCCCTAAACCGTGGAGTACATCCCCTATCTCCTCCCACACAATACAATGTATGCAAACACATAACATATACAACACACAATCAATACACATAATGTCTGTATTAATTCAGCAGTCAAAGTTGATGACTTAATCAATGATTAGTTTCAGTTATCCCTAATCCACATGCAGTGTCTACAACAAGCACGACTATCCTCCACCGATAGCCCAAAACAGTTATTTCTAGACTTGGAAATAAATATACCAACAATTCAATAGACGAGTGATTTAAATTAACCAACTACGCCATTTAATCAATGAATTCCCCAATTTCATGAATTTAACCATATTTTCCCAATTCCAAGAATTAATTTTACAAATTAATTTATTATTACAACTAGGGTTTTCCCCAAAATTACCAAAGTATCCCCAACATATCAAAATACCAAAACTTAGAACAAAACTTATAGAATGGAGTAGGAAATCCCTACCTCGAAGTGAGGAACTCAAACGAAGATGATGACCAAAGACCAACGTGCTCCAAATCCCAAGTTTCTCAGATTAAAACGAAGCCCTCAACCCACTCTAACTTTTTAACAAAGGACTTAGGGTAGAAATACACTCTAAGTAGATCAAACCTAAGAGAGAAGGTGAGTAGAGACTTTAGGATCACCCACAAATTCATCCGGATTAATGAATATGAAAAAGACTGATCAAATCCCGCTGCTGTGTATTTAAACTGGACAGGCTCGCTCGAGCGAAGACTTGGTCGCTCGAGCGACCAGACACAGAAAAGCTACGCTCGAGCCAAGGAAGCCTTGCTTGAGCCAACAACTCAAAAGCTCGCTCTAGCGAAAGAAATCTCGCTCGAGCGAAGAATTCAAACCCTCAGGTCTGTTACCAGACACACGCTCGAGCGAAGGAACTCCCGCTCGAGCGAAGAACGAACTAACTCGCTTGAGCGAAGAAAAGCTCGCTCGAGCCAAAACCCTCAGCTCTCAGGTCTTACTACAAAACGCAATCCTCGCTCGATCGAAGAAACCCTGGCTCGAGCGACGGACCAAAACAAAGAGCTCGCTCGAGCGAAGAACTGCTCGCTCGAGCGAAGGGTCAAAATTCTGGGCAGCAACCCTTTGCTCTCAAGCTCAACCAACCTGCTACAAACCTGCCCATTGCATCCCCCAACTCAGAAATAGGAAATTAAAGGACAGTAACAATCATAATACAATGGCAGGAGCTACGGAACCTAAGTCCGGATACAATAATCAAATGGGAAAAGACCGGGGTCATTATCTTACTATATTTTTTTCTATTTCATGATACTAAAATTGTCCCTTTAGATGTAGAAGAAATAAACATAAAATTGACTCTTTGGTAATATTACATGAGAGTTTTTTTTTTTCTTTTTTCTTTTTTGTTTTTGCCTGTAGTTCAAATAAAGATAGGAGAGAAAATTATTCTCTTTTTTCTTTTATTTATCCAATCAAAAGAAACAGAAAACACAATCTTTTCTCTTGTTTTCTTATCTTCCCTAACCTAAGTAATCATTTCTAGTTCAACAAAGAGATTGTTTTCAATGTTCACAAAAGATGGAAATGAAATATACTGAAGTTTTACTTTTGTAAAGCAGTTTCATTGTGCTGAAACATTGACACAATCGGCCATTATTTTTTTTTGGTTGGCACTCTTCCACTTGAAGATCATGATTCATATCCATACTCTTCACATTGGTGGAACATGAAAATTTAGCCCATTAGGAGAGATGAGCACATATTTTACTGCTATAGAGCTATTACTGTGCAACTGATTCCTTAGTTCAAACTACGCTACATACCATAATTGGAGCATCTTAGATTATTAGAACTTGAAGGAACTACTATAAATTGAGATTATTTCATTTGCTTTCAGTTTTATCCTTTTCCATTGTCCTAGAAAATCAGAGTCCTGTTATCTTTATTCCCTCTTATTTGTTCCCAGGAGCATTTTGCGGAGAATGCCAAATTATCTGCAAACTATTTTATTGCTAATTGTGAAGATATGTTGGTGTGTTTTATATTTTTTTCTTTCTTTGCTTCTTCATGAAGTTTTCTTTGTTTAACTAATGAGATAGTTTATCGTTTTAATGCGTTCTTTCTTCTTGTCACCTTTCTTTGTATTACATTTTGTTATTGACAGAAAGTTGCTGCTATAATTGATGAGTTGCTCCTCGGGTTGCATAATAAGTTCCTTTTCTGCATTAGGTAACATCTTTATTTCTCATTTGGGAGTTTCCTTCTTTATATTAACTTGGCATTGTTTTCATACTTCCTTCGAAAATCTTGCCGAGCACTTTTAGATTTTAGTGTGTAATTTTTTATCTCTTTATTTTTTTTTTTGGGCAGTCTTGTGTTTTGTATTCTCCCCCTTGATAAGGGTTCTGACTTTTGCTCATAGGGGCCTGTCTCTATGTTGTCCCCCCCCCCCCAAAAAAAAAAAAAAACCTTAGGGATCCCTCCCCTTTTTTTCCCCTCCACATATCCCCTTCATAAATCCAAGATCCAAACACAACATAAGGAGAAAGAAAGTTAGGGGTTTCCATGTTAGATATAGGTGTTGCTTTATCAATTGCGATCCTCTTATAAGCATAAATTGGGGAATTTAGGTAATTATATGCTAAATCTTGGGGATTCTTGTGCATATAGTTGTCTTGTTTTGAGCTTGAATATTTAGTTGATTTTTCTTCCCGAATACTATCTGTGTAATAGCTCATTTAGCACAAGACATGCCAACAAGATCCGTTCTTTATCATACTAAATGAAATAAAGAATGGCTCAGTGGGACGCTACATATATGAATTAAATTAATATATTATTATAGTTTTTATTTATCCTTATTGTTACATTATTATTAATAAGCTTATTACTTATTATAAGGTGATGTTATCATTGTTGTTGTTCATAAGCCAATACCCCTCAACACTACTGCTGATTGGTGTGGTTTGTTGTATTTTTCTGAAATTTTTGGTACTTGGCAACATGAGGTAAGTTATGATACGTGAAAGTTACTGTCAAGATTGAGTGGAGGTGTTGATGTCCCGAAATCTCCAAACGGCGTTAGCCCGAAACTTGGCACACACGACTGTCTAGGCACGAGAGGCTTGTGAGAGAAGACGAGACTCCAATCGGGTTCTTGGTTTGGGAGTTAGAGCCGGATTTCTGTCTAGCCAAAATTATTTACTTAATTATCATTGTAATTATATAGTAGTTAATTTTTTATGTTTTTTTGTAATTAAAATATTAATACATAATTATATTGTCATTAATTATTTTTATTTTTTGTTTTCAGATATTTTCTAGGTAGCAGTTTGCTTCTTGTGGAATGCAGGCGTGTGAAGATTGCGGTTAACTTTTGTTTTTGTTACCCATGGAAGAATCATGAGGGAAATTTTTGTTTTTGATTTACGTTATTTTGAATTGTGAATAACATTATGTATTTAAACATTGTATATGTATTATGCAATATTATGTAATGGGACAATTTTGTTAATGTGTTGTAATGAATGCAAGAATATTTTTATTATGGATGAATCGTTATTTTTATACTGGAATTTTTATATTATTATATAATTATTGGTTTCTTTTTTAGTTATTTTTCATTTAATACAGGTAATTATCATATTTTCATATTTTTAATAATTTTATTGCATTTTTTTTTTTTTGAGACGGCACCACATTGCCGTCACAAATGATATTGGCAGAGTTGAGACAAAAACCTTTGCGACGGTATTCTTTGTTGTCGCAAATAATTTTTAGTGACGACATGTCGTGCTGTCTCAAAGAATTTTCAGTGACGACAGGTATCTCGTCGTAATAAAAATACTTTTTTGACGAGATTTTTGTTGTCACAAATAACACCTTTAGCGAAGGCAACATAGTGCCGTCTCAAAAAATCTTAGATTTTTTCATATTAATGGCGACGGTAGAATTCTGTCGCAAAAAGGCAACTTTGTCGTTGCAAAAAAAAGGCGACGGCATTGTGCCATCGCTAAAACCTTTTAACAATGCCCTTTGTTGTCACTCCTCACTTGCCGTTGCTAAAAGTCATTTGCTGTCACAAAAAAGCTTTTGAGACGGCATTTTGAGTATTTGCGACGGCATTTTGCCGTCGCAAAAAGTCAAATTTTTTGTAGTGTTGTTTATTATAATTAATTAATGATTTGTCTTCAAAAAATTAAGTAAACCCAATTTTTGAGAAATTTCAAGGGGTGATGATGTCTATAATCAAATGTCAGGAGGTGCTTATAATTTATTATAAATATAGAAAGGGTATAAATCGCATAGGAAGGGTAACATGGGGATATAATATATTAGGCATCATTTTGGCTGAGATCAGCAAAAATAGTATTGTTAGTAATGTCCATAAGGTTTTAGGGTCTTGTTGATACACTAGGAAGCATGGATACGGGTATGATGCGATACGGATATAGCGATACAGCAAAATTTGAAAAACTAAGATACGGGTACGGCGGGGATACATTTGTAAAAAATATTATTTTTATAATTTTTAGTAATGTAGTATGTAATTTTTATAAAACAAAACATTAATGTAGTTATCTTTTGGCATGAACATCAAAAAAAAAAAAAAAAAAAACAAATTCAAAGTTGCTTTATAATTTGAATAGATCTAAGCCGTTCAAATGTCCCAGTAAGACAAATGTATGTAGAATAAATTCAAAACCATCATGTTTTATTATATAGATATGTAAATTGCATGTATGCCTGTAATGTCCCTGTGTATTACGGGCATACAAACATTATATGGAAATATGTGTAAAATATATTGAACAAAAAGAAGAAAGAAAAAAAAAACAAGAAATTCAATGCGGTTAGTACAATGAGAGGGAGAGAGAGTGAGATTGAGTGAGACAGAGAGACAGAGAGTGAGTGAGATTGAGATTGAGTGAGACAGAGAGACAGAGAGTGAGTGAGATTGAGATTGAGCGAGAGACAGATAGTGAGAGGGAGAGGGGGGAGAGAGAGAGAGAGTGAGTGAAATCGAGCAAGAGAGAGGGGCTAAGATCGAGTGACACAGATAGAAAAGTGAGAGAGTGAGAGCGTGCGAGAGAGAGAGAGAGAGAGAGTGAGAGTGAGAGTGAGAGCGAAAGAGGACAAACCTTGGTCGATGACGACGACTCAGAGTTGCTGCTGGTCGCAAATCGCAATAGAGACGACAACGTTGTTGCTGCTGTTCGAGTTGTTGCTAAGCTAGGGTTTGTTTGATTTTTTTTTTGTTTTATTTTAGATTACTTTTGTTAATTTACACTTTGACCCCATTATAAGTTTTCAAAAATTTTTTTTTGCCCCGCCGTATCCTGAAAGTATCCCAAGCGTATCCTTAAAGTATCCTCGCGTATCCCAAACGTATCCGAAATTAAAATTTTTTTTTAAAAAAATTGGGATACTTCTCTACCATATTGATACGTATCCCGTCGTATCAGACGCATATCCGTATCCGATATAGATTCGATACGTGTACGAGGGCCATTTCAGAGTATCTGTGCTTCATAATACACCTTCAAACTGTGGGGGTCTTTGTGATATTTTTTAATGTTTGGGGGTGTTCATGTATTTTCATGAAAGATCAGGGGTGGGCACTTTTCACCAAATAATATATTGTTACATATATACCAAACCAAACCAAGCCTTTTAACTCCCATCATTTTCTATATATTGTTAATTTTTGAGAAATTTCAAGGGGTGATTATGCCTATAATCAAATGTCAGGAGGTGCTTATAATTTATTATATATATAGAAAGGGTATAAATCACATAGGAAGGGTAACATGGGGATATAATATATTAGACATCATTTTGGTTGAGATCAGCAAAAATAGTATTGTTAATAATGTCCATAAGGTTTTAGGAAGCATGGATACGGGTATGATACAATACGGATACAGCGATACAGCAAAATTTGAAAAACTAAGATACGGGTACGGCGGGGATACATTTGTAAAAAATATTATTTTTATATTTTTTAGTAATGTAGTATGTAATTTTTATAAAACAAAACATTAATGTAGTTATCTTTTGGCATGAACATAAAAAAAATAAAATAAAAATAGCAATTCAATAAAATTTCAAAAATTCCAACAATATAGCATCACCCATAACAACCATAATGCAATTCAAATTAATTTACCCTTTCAATGATAAAAAAAAAAAATACCTCACAAGGCTCCTTGATGTTGTTGTCTTTTAAGGAAATAAAAAGTGGGTACCAGTAACTTAGCTTAGCTGCCCAAAAAAAAAGAAAAAAAAATGAAGAAGAAGAAGAAAGAAAAAAAACAAAGAAAAAAAGAAAAAGAAATTCAATGCGGTTAGTACAATGAGAGGAAGAGAGAGTGAGATTGAGTGAGACAGAGAGACAGAGGGTGAGTGAGATTGAGATCGAGCGAGAGACAGACAGTGAGAGGGAGAGGGAAGAGAGAGAGAGAGAGTGAGTGAAATCGAGCAAGAGAGAGGGACTAAGATCGAGTGACACAGACAGAAAAGTGAGAGAGTGAGAGCGAGCGAGCTAGAAAGAGAGTGAGAGTGAGAAAGAGTGAGAGTGAGAGTGAGAGCGAAAGAGGACAAACCTTGGTCGATGACGACGACTCAGAGTTGCTGCTGGTCGCAAATCGCAATAGAGACGACAACGTTGTTGCTGCTGTTCGAGTTGTTGCTAAGCTAGGGTTTGTTTGATTTTTTTTTTTTGTTTTATTTTAGATTACTTTTGTTAATTTACACTTTGACCCCATTATAAGTTTTCAAAATTATTTTTTTTGCCCCGCCGTATCCCGAAAGTATCCCAAGCGTATCCTCGTGTATCCCAAACGTATCCAAAATTAAAAAAATTAAAAAAAATTGGGATACATTTTTGCCATGTTTGATACGTATCCCGTCGTATCAGACGTGTATCCGTATCCGATATATATTCGATACGTGTACGAGGGCCATTTCAGAGTATCTGTGCTTCATAATACACCTTCAAACTGTGGGGGTCTTTGTGATATTTTTTAATGTTTGGGGGTGTTCATGTATTTTCATGAAATATTAGGGGTGGGCACTTTTCACCAAATAATATATTGTTACATATATACCAAACCAAACAAAGCCTTTTAACTCCCATCATTTTCTATATATTGTTACACATATAGAAATAATAAAAATTTATTCATTTTCAATTTACAAATACATTAATATTTTATTATATCAAAATAATAAGAGACCATGTTTTACATTCAATTCAATATTTAAAAAAACTAGGCAAGTTACATTGACCTCCCTCGACATTTAAGAAAAATATGATAAGTCCCATAATTTAGCATAATTACCTTGGCCTCCAAACAGAGGTAACAAAATATAGATAAAATTAATATTTTCCCTTAACTTACTTCGTGTTTAAAAGACAAATTTATCTTCAATATGAAATGAAAAAATCACCTTATAGACTTGACTTAGAACCCTAACCTAGACACTTTACTGTCCTAACATTAACCTAACAGCGTGGATTTAAGTTTCATGAAAACACAAAACTTAGGGAGGTTAATCTAATTATGTTAAATTGTTTGGCTTGATGTATTTTTTTGAAATCTTAAGGGTGGCCAGTGTTGATTATTCCTAGGAAATAAGTGAGAACAAAAAAAAAATCCCAAATTTCTAATTTAGAAAGATTTACTACAAAATAAATTAGAAACTTCAGGATTTAGAAATTCTAAAACTAAAAAGTCCAAAAATAAAGAATAGGTATGTCACGCCCCAATTTTTAATTACTCGGAAATATTACCAAAGCCTTTAAATTTAGATCCATTTTTTTTGTTTTTACAAACATCCATTACCCTTGAGTAATAAAAATACAATGATACATGTTCTCTCTCTCTCAATGAACATTACAATGATAACAATATATGCCAATCTCCTACTGATAAGCTACAAATGAATAAAATACAAATACGTGATCCATCACATCTACAATGAAATTACACATAAAAGACACATAGACTTTTTAACTCTTTAATAAAAGAATCCAAACTTTCTTCCTGTAAAAAGGTAAAACAACAAGGGGTGAGCACTAATGCCCAGTAGGAATCTCATAGTTCTAAATCAATAACTAACACACAGATAGAAATAATCATGCATGTAGGGTGATACCATATAGTAGAATGACATTTTATAATTTCAAAATATCGTAAGTAAAGTACCTTTTTCTCAAAACTATTTAAACACTTTTAAGAAAAACCTCCAGCCATTAAAAATCATCCCTTAACTTTAGAAAAATATAGATCCTTATGAAACCAACATGTTTAAGAAACAACATCATTTAAAAATTATTAACCAATTCCCAAAATATTCCCCATTTC